TCGTAGTCGTAGTCATAGTCGTGGTCGTATCGGAAGGGGAGGGAAGGGGAGGAGGAGGGGGATGAGGTGGAGAGGACGGGCGGAGGAGGAAATGAGGAGAAAGGCCGAGGAGGAGGAGGAGGAGGGAGGTGAGAGGGAGGAGGAGAAGAGGAGGGGAGCAGGAAGACTAGGAGGAGGAGCGCAGCAGCAGGCAGAGGAGAGAGGAGGAAGAGGAGAGGAGGAGAAGGGGGAGGATGAGGAGGCGAGGAGGGAGGAGGACGAGGAAGAGGAGCAGGAGGAGCAGGAAAAGGAAGAGAAGGGAGACCGCCTTCCACGCCAGGATAAACTGCTCCGTGTTGGCCGCGGTGCCGTCCTGGGAGGCGCGGGCCGACGGCGGGGGGTAGGGGGAGGCCTACTCAGGGGGGGGCGGCGTGCGCTCGGGGCGGGCGGCACGCGCATGGGGGGGCGGGCAGGGGGGACGAGGAAGGCGGGGGGTCCTCCTTTCGCCTCCTTCGCCCTCTCCCCTCCTGTCCTCCTCCTCCTCCACCTCCTCCTCCTCTTCCTCCTCTCCTTCCTGTGTCCTCCTCTCTCCTCCTTCCTTCTCCTCCTCCTCCTCGTTCTCGTTCTCGTTTTCCTTCTCCTCCTCCTCCTCCTCCTCCTCCTCCTCCTCCTCCTCCTCCTCCTCCTCCTCCTTCTCCTCGTCCTCCTCCTCCTCCTCCGGGCGGCAAGAGGCGGGGGGAAAGGGAGGAAGAGGCAGGAGGAAGGAGGGGGAGGGGAGGGGGAGGAGGAGGGAGAGGGGGAGGCAGGGGGGGGAGGGGAGGAGGAAGAGAAGGAAGGGGGAAGGAGGAGCGAGTAGAGACCCGGGAGAGAGAAGAGGGGAGGAGGGTGGAAGATGGGGGGAGGAGCAGGGGGAAGGAAAGAAAGAAAGACGCTCCGCTGGGGCCAAATGTTCGTCCAGCTTAAACAATTACAACTACAGTGGGAGGGGAAGGGGGAAGGAGGATGGGAGGGTAGACGAGGGGAGGGGATGGGGGGGGAGAAATGTGCATGTGGACTAGGAGGGCTGAGGGTGACCAGAATTAGAAGGAGAGTCAGAGGAGGGGAGGAGGACTTGGACGTGCAGGAGGAAATAAGCAGTGAGGCCCGAAGAAACGTGGACGCCATCCCGCGCACGTGGACATGCGCCCCAGTTCGCGAGAGGCCGCCCTCATGTCACAGACGCTCGCGTAACGCGTTCTCTCAAAGCCCATGGGAATGCATGTACGCCGCGTGCGTCGTGGATTCGCTCTTGACTGAAGAGAGGAAGGAGGACCAGGAGCAGGGGAGGGAAGAGGAGGAGACGATGGAGGAGCAGAGGCTGGCGGAGGAGGAAGAGGACGAGAAGGCGGAGGAGGAGGAGGACGAGGAGGAGAAGGAGGAGGGGGAGGAGGAGGAGGAGGAGGAGGAGGAGGAGGAGGAGCAGGGGAGGGAAGACGAAGAGACGATGGAGGAGCAGAGACGGGGCACCGGCTCTCTTCTCGTGGCCGGGCGGCGCAATCGACGACGACGACGACGACGACGACGACGACGACGACGACGACGACGGCGATGACGGCGGTGGCGGCTGCGGCGGCGGCGGCCACCGCGAGGCGAGGCCCTCGCAAGGCCCGAGGAGGCCCGACGGGGTGCTTGGAGGCCTCCAGGCACGGGCGAGCGTGCAAGCGAGCTGAGATGCTCCATACTAATCCCCGCAGGGGGAAAATGCACACGTCCGAGCGATGCCAAGGGATAGTGCATCATTTACCGGCTGGCTCTCCGGGCGACGGGTCCTGAAAAAATGGATGCACTGTCACTGTGTTTGGGCCACAATTGGTTCTGAGCAGTGGAGGAGCCTGGCATCCAGAAAATCACAAGTCAAGAAACCTGGCCCAGCTTCCCAAAGTTTCTCAAGACAAGCCTTGGCAGAATGTTCGTGTTCAAGCTGGAAAGCCGCACGCGCTGACAAGTTGGCTAAGAAACGCTGGACCAGCTTCTCGAGAGGAGGTCTCTGAATCAGATGCTCGACTGTAAGTTGAGCAGGGACCGACCGTCCCAGCATTCCTATAGGCCAACCATGAAATTCTGTTAGAACCCAAAATGTCCGAGTAACAAAAACAATGTTCTTAGAACGTAGACTCGACGTGATGAAACAAGACAGTCCGAGCCAGAAATGTTCTGAGAACATTTCGCGCAGATCCCAGAAGGTTCTTAGAACACTCTTTGGTGAGCCTACAGGCAAGCCAGGACGCTGCGCCACTGCTCGAGTAAGTGGCGGACGAGCATGGCATCGTGCAGTGGACACGCCCCTGGCCCCGAAACTGCCGCGGCCGCACCCCAGCTTCGCGCGACGCGCTTCGCGCGAAGCTATAGCTGTTCTCCCGTGCGAGTGCCCTGGGCCGCTTTGGCTCCTGTGCACCCTGGAAGACCCGGCGACTCCGGAGGGCGTGGCCTTCGGCGGCGACCATGGAGGCGAATAGCCCAAGGGCGGGCATTACACGCATTCGCCCGGGAGCCTCGCCGAAGACGTAGATCATCGGCGTCCCTGGACACACGTACTGCTCCCCCCTGGGCTATGCGCCCCTATCGCCGCCTCCGAAGGGCGTGGCTTGCAAACGGCGTGGTTTGCATCCACCGGCGGCGCGGAGGGGGCACCCCTGGGGGGCGGGCGGGCACCTCCACAGCGCTCTGCGCCGCGCACCGAGGATGCCCGACGAAGGCAACGTAGTGTTCCAGATCGCAAACCGTACCCCAGCGTTTAACCGATCCCCACCCCCGGCGGCGTGGCCTGGGCCCCACTGGCCGATTTACCCCCCTAGATGGGGATGTAGGTCGCTCCCTTCGGGTTTCGAGGGAAGTATCCCCAACTAGGCGGGCAATTTGGCGGGAGAGTCGAAGGGGATAGGGGATGGGGATTGGTCAACGATACCGAGCTTAACCACACCCTCTGCAGTCCCCGAAAGAATCGGGCTGGAGCGAGCCCAGATCTCGGGCGACGTGTTTTTGTTTCAGTCCAGGCGTTTCCCGTCGCTTTCGGCCCTCGAGGGCCATTCTCGGGCCCCAGGACCGTCAAAGATGGGCCAGCAGGAACAACTACTCCAGGAGAATAGAATAAGAAAAAAACACATAAACATAAATGTGTTGCGCTCTGCGCGGATTTTTTGGATGCGCGCTGGGCACCCCTCCCTGGCGCGCGGAGCGCGCAAGGGGCGGCGCCAGAGGCGCCGCCGGGGGGCCCAGGCGCGGATCCAAGATATCAGAGCGGAGCGCCAAGAGTTTATATTTATGTGGCTTTTTGTTATTCGAGGGAAGGGGTCGGGACCTCTGGGGCCGCGCATTGGAAACATCATATCGGCCAGATGTCTGGGAGGCTGGGTCGTGGATTCTGGTCGCGGGCCTGGCCTTCTGGCGAGCTGCTGAAGCCACCCAACCGGCAGAGACGCCAAGCACCAGTGCGTCAACGCAGCCAGTCGGGGGCCGCGTCCTTGGAGATGCCGACGGCAACGCCCTTAAAGACCAGGGAGGTCACCTGGCCGATGCGCTTGCCGGGCCCCGAACCGACGACCCACTTCTCCTCGCTGACCACCGCGTAGCCATCGCAGCCGAAGATGCCTGTGGGGACGGGGGCCACGACTGCTCCCGCTGTTCCACCAGTCGCTGCTTCATATCCGAAGAGGTGGGTAGCGCTGGCACACGCGGCTCGACGTCTGCCCATGTGGTGTGTAATGGTGTGTTGTGTGTGTTGTGTGTTATGCGTCGTGTGTGTGTTGCATGTGTTGTGTGCTGTGTGCGATGTGTGTGTTGCGTGTGTTGTGTGTTGTGTGTTGTGTGATGTGTGTTGTGTGCTGTGTGTTGTGTGTGTCGTGTGTCGTGTGTGTGTGTTGTGTTGTGTGTATTGTGTTGTGTGTTGTGCGTGTCTGCGCGCGTATGTGTGTAGAGGGGGGGGCAGTGCGTGCGCCGTGGGCGGAAACGTCGCCCAATGGTCGCCCTGCCGTGTCTGGCACGACCGCGCGTCCCCCTCGCGCCTTGTAGATTTGTCTCGCCCCCTTTTCCGCGCCTCTTTCTTTACAGCGACGGCGGTTGTCTGGCTGGGTGGCCCATTCGCCGCCCTCGTTTGCCCTTACAGTGGCACGGTGGATTGACCTTGTTCACCTCCATCCGTCCTTACAGGCTGTGCGAAGTGACACCTGGCGTGTTTGCTGGCAGGTGGCGCGTGCACGGCTTGGTTGTTCGTGCGCCCCATTCTCGGTGCGTGAAGCATTGGGCACGTCCGATAACGCAGCTTCTTTGGTACGCGGTGGCTGGCGTTGCCACGCGTCGTTGGCCTTACTTCGCCCGTCGTCGCGGTCGTTTCGCGCTGCTGGTCTGTAGGCCAAGCCCTTACCAATTCTGCCTCGCAGGACCAAAGGGTCGGTCACACCACCACTCTGCATAGCAGCATTTATTTCCTTGCGCTCCACTGTCTAGCAACGCTCTGGTGATTCAGTGGCAAGCATCAGCCCCTGGCTGCCGCGCTTCAACTCACTTCGATTTGAACAATAGATTCGGTTCCTGGCCGCTGCATGTTTCGTGTGGACTTATATACCACACACATACACACGCACGCACACATCGTTTGCATGTTGTAGTGTGCGACGATGTGTACGCTGCGCCGTCATCAACGCTCGATCGCAACTCGCATTTGCATTTGCTGCGCGCGTTTGAAAACCCTCTGCGCCGCTGGCTTCAACGTGTGTGTGTGTGTGTGTGTATGTGTGTGTCGTGGGGGGGTTGTGTGTGCGTGTGTGCGTGTGTGCGTGTGTGCGCGTGCGTGTTTGCGCGATTGCGTGCTAGTGTGCGTGTGAGGGTGTGTGTGTGTGTGTTGTGTGTTGTGTGGTGTGCGTGTGCCGTGTGTGGTGTATGCCATATGTGCTCTATGGTGCGCGGTTTGCGAGTTTGTGTGCGTGCGTGTGTGTGTGTGTGTGTGTGCGTGTGTGTGCGTGGGCGTGGGCGTGAGCGTGTTCGTGTGCGTGTGTCTGTGTGTCTGTGTTTCTGTGTGCATGTGAGCCTGTGTGTCAGTGTGCCTGTGGGTCTGTGTGTCTGTATGTATGTGTCTGCATGTATGTGGATATGTGTGTCGGTGTGTCGGTGTGTCAATGTGTCAATGAGTCTGTGCGTATGTGTGTGTGTGTTTGTGTGTTTGTGTGTCTGTGTGTTTGCGTGTCTGCGTGTCTGCGTGTTTGTGCGTCTGTGTATGTGTGCGTGTCTGCGGGTGTCTGTGTAACTGTGTGTTTGTGTACCGTTGTGTCTGTGTTTCTGTGGGTCTGTGTGTGGGCGGGTGGGTGCGAGAGTGGGTGGGTGGGTGTGGGTGGGTGGGTGTGTATGTGGGGGTGGGGGTGGAGGGGGGGGTGGGTTCACTCCCACCCGCCCTCCCAACACATACGTAGCACCCCGAGCTTGGCCCGAGCTGCAGCAGATGCAGCAGTCGTTTTTGGATGGGCAGTACTGGGGGGCGAATCCGCCGCCGCCGCCGCCGCCTCCGCCGCCCCGCCGCCGCCGCCGCCGCGAGCCGCCGCCGGCCGCCGCCGCGGCCGCCGCCGCCGCCACCGCACCGCCCGCCGCCGCTTCCGCCGCCCCCGCTGCCGAATCGCCGCGCCGCCGCCTCGCGCCGCAGCTCTGCCGCCGCAGCCGTTGCCGCCACCGCTGTCGCCGCCGCCGCCACGCGCCGCCGCCGCCTCCGCCGCCGCCGCCGCCCCCGCCGCCGCCGCCGCCACCGCCGCCGCCGCAGCCGCCGCAGCCACTGCCCCCGCCGCAACCGCCGCAGCCGCCGCAGCCGCCAAGTGTACTTTGCATTGGATTTAGCAGGATAGTGGGGGGAGGCCGCATCGGGTTCGCTGCGCATGCTCCGAATTTGGAGGCGGACTGTGTTTTGTACTGCGTTTTTCGCGGGATGGCGGGGGGGTGGCCCTCATTGACTCGGGTTGGCTCCCAGTCGCCTGGGGGAGGGGGGTATACGAATAGAGAAAAGCGATCAAGTTAGCCAGCTCGGACGAGCCAGAGGGTTCCCTCCGTCCACTCCCACCCGCCCCCCCCCACAACATAAGAAGCAAGTGCGTCGCGCCCGACGCCTGTCGATCACCTTATATCGTGGGCGGCTAGACGTTCAGAGCGCGACATGAGCTGCGTCCTATCCCTGCCGCGTGTTGAGCAACGTCGACGAGAAACAAGACCGCGCGCGATGCACGCCGCGCCCCGCTCCGACCTCTCACGTTGCATCGTCGGCGACAACATGTCCAGCGCGCGAAATGTAGCGCCGCGTCTCATTCCACCCACGCGCGTTGCACCGCCAATCGTTTCGCTCCTGCCGCGCATGGAGGAGGGGAAGGAGGAGGAGGAGGAGGAGAAGGACGAGGAAAAGGAGGAGGAGGAGGAGGGGAGGGAGAGAGGGAGGGAGGGAGAAACGGAGGACGAGGAGAATGCCTCTTGGGAATTCGCGGGGCGTCCTGCGAGTTTTCTGGCATACGCCTGAGGGCCTCTTGGATATGTATTCCGGGTTGGAACATTGTCAACACAAGTAGGTGCCAACCTCACAATCCTTCAAACACCAAATGAGTATCAATATTTGTGTTGCCCCCACAGGACCTCCTGGCCGCCTTTTTTCGACCTGTTGGAGGTATCATGAGACACCTGATTGAATCGCACTTGCTTGAGGCATTACGACCTGCCGCCCGCCAAGCTCCTCAACCCGACGGGCCGCAGCGTCGACGACAAGAAAGTCCATGTTGACGAGCAGGCGTCCCCGCGCGATGTGCGCCGCGTCTCATCCCCGCTACGCGATTCGCAGCGCCGACGAGGAGAAAGTACATGCTGGCAAGAAAAACGTCGACGTTGCTGTGTTTTTTTGACAGGTAGGACGGGGGGTCCCGCGTAGGGGTGGCCAGGCGTCCGCGCGCGATGTGCGCCGCGTCCCATTACTGCTACACTTCCCGCAGCGTCGACGACAAGAAAGTCCATGTTGACGAGAAAAACGCTGACTTTGAATTGTTTTTCATTGGTAGGACGCGACCACCCGCTTAGGGCCTCCCAAGCGATGTTCATTCCGTCAAATTCCTGCTACACTTTTCGCAACTCGACGACATGCTGGCGAGAAAAAATTGAGTTGGCATTGCTGTTTGACAATTAGGACGGCGGGGTTGCTATCCGTCGGCTAGATGGGGACGTGGGGTTGTTGCATCATGGCAAATACGGATGGGGTTGTCGGTGTGTGGGTGTGTGGGTGTGGATGTGGGTGTGGGTGTGGGGGTGGGGGTGGGGGTGTGTGCGGGTGCGGGTGTGGATGTGTGGGTGTGTGGGTGTGTGGGCGTGTGGGTGTCGGGACGTGGGGGGGGGGGGGGGGGTGTGGATATGTGGGTGTGTGGGTGTGTTGGAATGTGGGGGTGTGTGGGTGTGGCAGTGTGGGGGTGTGGGGGTGTGGGGGTGTGGGTGTGTGGGTGTGTGGGGATGTGGGGGTGTAGGGGTGTGTGGGTG